CCCCAAGCGCAAGAAAGAATGACAGCTCCGCTTTCTCCTCCTTCGGGAGAGGCGCGCTCAGGGCCAAGATATTTTAAGACACGGTCCCGGTTTCTGAGAATATCATACCAACCGAGTCACCCAAGGCAACCTTGGATTTTTTTTTTTTTAAAAAGGTGGATTTTTTAAAATACAACATACCTACACAGAAGGCAACATGGCAGATTTCTCTTTTTAAAAAGGCGCTTAGGATCTGGAGGCTCCAGGGGATCGCGCAATTGTTGGAGACTCTGCCTGGCTGCCGCGGGGCAGAGCCGAGTTTGGAAAGCGGCGGCATCGCCCGGCCAAGCAGCTCTCCGGGAACACAAGCTCTCAGAATCGCTCCGGCACGGAAGACCAAGTCAGCTTCCACGGAATTCTGCACTCATGAATCCAGGGCAAGTAAGCGGGAACGCACCCGCGGCCTTTCTGCGTTCAAGCGGAGGCTGCGATGTAGGAGCGCGGCTCCATCAAAGCGGCGCTCAGCGGGACTTTCCCTTGCGCCGCAGTTCCTCGACGGAAAGGGGGGGGGGGAGAACTCAGAGATGGGGTTCAGCAGAGGTAATATTAACAGCTCAATTCCAGCACAAGAAATCGCTTAGAAGCCGGTGTGTTTGCACACACAATATAGACACGCAGAATGAAAAGGGAAAAGTGATGAGCATGAGGAGGAGAAATCAGCATGATTTTAATGCTGCGTGGACTCAAAGTGAAAGGATGTGATAAAGTTAGGTTGCAACCCAATTCGTTCTTTAAATTGCATTAAAACAGAAGTTACTTAAGGAATGAGGCTACTGAAATGAATGGGATTTTAGTCTAAATATGTCCAGCGCTGAAGTCCCTTTATACCATCTTTCTCTGACCCATTGACCTTCAAATAGGTTGGATGTCAGCTCCCATAACTCTCATAAAAACCATGTTGCCTGGGAATGATGAGGATGGGGATCTAATACATCTGGAAAAGACCAGTTTCAGGAAGACTAACTTTCTTACTCCAGTATCACACAAAATTTTTAAAAATTACCAGTGAATTCCAAACAAAAGCAAAGGCTAATATTAAGACAAAGCTTTCTGTTCTAATAATTCTACTTCAAAATGCATAAAATGAGCTGACTTCTGTAATTGTAATAAATGAATGGTGTATTAGTCTGATTTTGTTCTCAGCATTGCTATTGTTCCATCTCTAAATATATTTTCTTTGTATTTAAACCTGACAACAGGAAACAGATAGGAGGCAGCAATCCACTACTTATATATTTACCTGCTGTGATATAGCTGCAGAACACATGAAACTTATCTGGATTTCTAGTACAGAAAAGAGTTGAAAAAGTATAGACCATTTTAGTTTGT